CTGGCCCAGGTGGGTGTCCGCAGGCGTCGTTGCCGGTGCACGGTCGCTGGATTACCACTGCTACTGCTGCGCACTGGTTACACTTTCCGCCGCCTTGGCACTGGGATCTGTGGTTGCTGCGGATGCTGCTGAGGTGGGGGTGGACGCTGGAGCAGCCACTTTTGATGAATTCTCCTCCAGCACGGATTCCCTTACGGTCTCCAAGGCTGGCTGTAATTTGGGAGCTGCGGTAGCGGGCTGGCACTGGGATCCGACGACGACGGCGGCCCTGTGGGTCCGCTGTGTGTCTGTGGTGCCTGGGACACGCCCTTGGTGCGCCCCTCTATACTAGCCTGATTGTCGCCCGTCGTCGGTTCTGCTCCACCAGTGGCCACCTCCTCCTTTGGCTCCCTTTGCTCCTCCTTCCCCTCCTTCCCCTCCTCCACCTTCTTCAGGCTACAGCTGCTATTGGAGTTGTTGTTATCCTGCTGCTGGTCAGGATCCCGACCATGACTGTGGCGACTGCAGCTAAGGTTCTTGCAATCCCCATTGCAGTCCTCTCTGCAGGATGTTCCAAATGAATTCCAGGTGCATCCCAGGCAGGCGGTCAAGTGTTCCGTCGCCCAGCAGTTGGCAGTGAGTAACAGCGAGCCAGTGCAAAATGGCAATTGTTAGATTACGTTGTTGTTGCATTGCATTCGGTTGGTATATGTGTGTATGTGTGTGAAATTTTATTTATTTTAGATAAATAGTTTTTGTCAATAGAAAGAAAAAAATATATAAATAGAACATCAGTTGAGAGATTGTGGTAAAGCTTTAAAGTTTAGTAGGGGGTAAGAGGGCGGCTATACGTATATTGTTCCCAAAGAAGCTGGCCAAAAATTAAATTTTGAAATCCGCCTTACAAACAAATGGAGTATTTATATTTACAATTATTATAAAGGCTTTATTTTAACTATAACCTTTTCTAAATTATGAAATATTCAAAGCCGAGAAGTGCTTAAAGTTCTAATATTTCCACATTTGCAGGGCGAACTTTCAAAAATGCTGAAAAAACAACTCCAGCAACAGACAAAGTTTCACCGATTTTACAAGCTCGTAATAGCCAAGTTAACTCGGCAACTTTGTGTGTTGTTACCTCAAAAAAACAAAAAAAAAACAGGAACGAAATAAATGGCTTAAAAGGGGAAAGCACACTCTTTTTTCTACCCAACCTCACTTGACTATGCAAATCGAAGATTCGTGTCGTGTGTGCTTGTTTTGGGTAGGAAAAATGTTAATAAATTATATGGCACAGAACACACCTGAAAAACAATGGATATGGCATACCAGTCCATATATATGCAGATGACATTCGGGAGTTGATCGGAAGAGGAGTATGGATTTAATTGAATGTGTGGTAAATAATAAAAATGCATAGATGCACTGCGGGGTTCGTTGTGTTTTTGTATAGATTCCCATCCCTTCTGCGGCGGAAAAGCAAAACCAAAATCGGGTTTGGAAATGCAAAGCTTTTGGGCATTTAGTTTAATATTATTTTTGTAAATAAAATTCCTGCTTTATTGTTATGAAAATGGCTAAAAACTAGAAGTTTTATAACGAGGTCTCTTTAAATAAACTATGGAAAGAATGGCATAATTTTAAATATCTGAAGTATTGATATAAAGGTTATTTAAATATATATAATCATCCTAAATCCCAAATAGCTTTGCACTTCCAATATCAAAAACAAAAATCCTATTTCAAAAATATTTCAACATTTTCTAAGCACCACAAACACTTGAAGTTTCATAGCGAGAAGCTTGAGAGAAACGGAGTTAGGATCAGTAGAGGAAAGATCGGATTCAGATCGAGATTCAGATTCAGAAGATACACAGAGAATTCCATCTGGCGAATTAACGAACGAACGGAGTAGAAAATATATGCAGATACACCGAGAGAAATGGCGAGCACAAAAGTAAGACACCGAGACTTGTAGGCAGAGGAGTAGAGATAAAGTGAGTTAGAGACAGAGATTACTTCAAAATTAAATTACGGTGCGGCGATTCGTTAGGGGACGGTGTTTTTTTTTTCTTAACCATAACTTAGTAACTCTCGGGATCCGAAGTAGATAAGTACACAGATATACCTTAGGTTAGGCTAGGCTAAAACTAAGAATACGCGATCTCTGCAAACGTTAAATGATGATAATGGCATATGATATATAGAAGACAGGAAAGATACAATGGATGATGGCTAGAGAGTTTCTGTTTTACTGGCAAGAGCAAGGCAAAGTATAGATTTCGATTCTCGAAATACATGAACTGAAGACAGCACTACAAAGTATGAGGATAGAAATAGTTGGTAACAGATTTTAGAAAGATTTAGAAAGAAGAAAGAGGTGAGAGAGGTGATTAGTAAGTAGTGGGAGTAAAGATATATTGTGGTTGGATGGGCTTGGATATCGGGATAGATGTATTCGCGATCATATTATAGAAGAGAGATGTTATAAGAGTTAAAATCAACAGAGTTAACGACAAAACCAAAGCGACAAGTTTGACACGATGGGAAAACTTACTCTTCGCTCTCAACGGATGAGGACGCAATCTGCCCCAACCTTGTTTTACCTGAAGTGGGGCTTCTGATCAACAACACACAACACATATTGTAACAGAAACGGATATAAAAAGAAAAATATTCAGATATTTGTATACACGGAAAGAAATCAGTTTAAGGAATATGTATAATGACAAATTCTGATAACTCGATGGATGATTAGTCGATTGAATCCTACACTAAATATGTTATAAAGCCTGAACCAATTCGTTGTGGAGTCCCCCCAAAAGGAAGCCCGAAGCTGAAGCAAAGTTGTCCCAGAGATCGGTTCGAGTCGGTTCGTTCTCCTCTTGGTTAGATGGGAGCCAAGAAGCTTGCAAGATTTTCGATTTTCTTTTTTCGAGGATAATTTAGGGGGGAAGGGAGGAGGGAAAGTCTATCAACTTTTGCCTACCTTGATTCGTCAATGAAGACGGCCTCGAGTACACGAGCCGCATAATGCAGATTGCGCTGCATATCCTCATAGGCAACGGTCTCGTGATCCATGCGACGGAGAAGACTACGTATTCTGTGGAAATTTTAGTAAATATATATTATTATTCTCGAATTTATTTTTGTGTAAGACTGGAACCCACCTCAAGGCCGCTTTGTTGAGGGCATCTGGCGTATCGACTGCCGGCAAACTTTCCGTTTCCCATTGACCGGCATTAAACGATAGAATCGAGGTTGTTTCATACGATTGCTGTGACGGGGTCGGAATGTCGGTATCACCGCGAAGGAACGAACCGGTGCCCATGGCATTTAGCGAATGATTGGCGGTATGGTCAGCGGATTCACTTTGCGAGAGATTGGCCGACGAGTTCTGAAGGTTGTCGGCCACATAGTTGGTGGAGTTTGGCGATGACGGCTGCATCTTGGCTGTGGCTGTGGTGGCGGATGCTCCGGTGCTGGAACCCTGATTGCTCGATCGACTATCGCCGGCGGACGCTGGTCCGTTGCTACCGGTGCGGAAGCTTAAACGCTCCGCAAGGGGTTCACTGAGCGGCGTCTGGGCGAAGGTGATGCCCGGGTTCACGGTGCCGGTGCCGGTGCCGGTGCCGGTGCCGGAGGCGGAGGCGGTGGCTGCTGAGGGCGATGCCAGTTGCTGGCCGTCGTTCTGGTTGAAATTCCGGCTATTTGTGCGTCGGATAATCGTCAGTGAGCCGTGTCCTGCAAGATGGTAAAAGAGGCTATTGTTTAGTTTTCTTTTTCGGTTGCTTATTTAGTTAACTTAACTCTCACTATTGACACATTTGATTTGAGGCCCTACTGGGATCTAACGAAGCAGAGTCCCCAAAGGAAAGGGTTTTGGAATTGTTAAGAGTACCGTGGATTTGGGGGATTATGAAGGATGGGAAAATATGAATAAATGAATGTATTATCCTTTATTCAATAAGAAAATGTAAGAATATATTTCCATTGTTTATTACTTGAAAAATCAATATTTAATGTTTAATTTAAATAAAATATATAAATATCTGATTTTACAATTTATCAGTCAAAAATTAATTTTACAAATTATCAGTCAAAAAGAGAGAATAATTATTGTTTATTTTGAAAAGAAATTCCATTGATAAAAATGTCAAGTACAAGTTGTTTGATTCATAAAATCCTGAGCTGAAACTCATTTGTTTTAAGAACATATACAATAAATTATATTTAAAATATATAATATATATTTAATATATATTTGAAATATTTAATAATCTATGCATAAATAGTTCTATAAATATCTATTTAATTCATATTTTAATATTACGAATCAAAGTAATCCTTCAACCACTGTTCACTTCCTTCGCTAGACCAAAATCTTTTAATACAATCGACAAGAAATCAATAATTTATTCGCATCATTTAAGGCCATTGTGGAGCACAATTCTTTATTTAGTTAACCCCAAAGGGGGAGATGGGAAAAATGCTTAACGAGCAGCGAACAAGAAGCCTTGAAGAAGTTCCTTCCCTTGCAATGGCTTAGTGGCATCGTTCCAGGACTAAGTTTGGCCCCCCAAAAGGATTTATCTCTATGTGTGTGGTTGTCACGAAGAAGGCAAGAAGGAGGCGTCGGAGATTTTGGCACTTGAAGCAATCTATTTGGTGGAGTTACTCCCGCACCGGGAGAGAATCTTAACTGCATTCCATTTATTTTGGAAGTGCAAGCACCTCAAGATGCGTGGGGGAAGAGATGCCAAAGGTGATGGGGTAGTCATAAAATCCACTTTATGCTGCACTTAAATTTATGTTACACCCGAGATTCCATTCGCTTAACTGCTAGATACGCAGGCTCTTTATCGACTCGGGTTTCGGGATGAAATGTTTTATGCTCCTTTTACTGGCAACTCTTCACGTCCTTAATGACTTGCCACGCTTCATTTTACCTCACAATGTTCATTTTTGTTGTTTTTCTTAAGGGGAAGCACCTGACATCAGCTTACGGCTAAACGCGATTCCGGGTGTCTTGACCCATGTGGATAATGGATACTGTTGGCAATTAAATGGCCTTATGGCCGCATAAAGTGCGTTTCACAACTGGTAACATGATCGATGGTCTTGACTGTCATCAATCTTGATTCAAAAGCTAGGATAGTTGACCTGTCAAAAATATTCAGCTGTCAAAAGGGGGTTTTCCCCATGCTTATGAAGTTAGTTATCGCAATTAATGTTATTACCCATAAATTGTATTTTATAATTTATATATTATCTGAATATTACAAGGGAAAAGTTTAACTGAAATATAAATCCGGTCACTAAATCGTTTTGTGGTTAACTTTTTTTTCAGAGCAAAAAACTGCACTTGATTGTTTTAATTTGTAAACTAAAATAAATGACATTTTGTTCAGTCTTGCAGCAAAAAAGTTAATCTAATCTAACTTAATTAATCACACAAACATGTTGTTAGTGAAAGATATGTGTGTGTATATTACATGTAATCTTTATTGAGTTAAGCTAAAATGATTTATTTTGTCAAGCGAATTAAAAGACCTCGCTAATATGGTTTATATAATTAAATAATGTATATACATTTTTAAATAAAATATAAATAGTCACAGGAGAGTGCTATCCTTTCTAAATTTCCGCCATTTCCGAGGGATGTCAAACGGACTTAGCCACCGCAATCTGCACAGCTGGTACAGGATGGATTATGTCCGCTGCATAAAATGGAAATTATAATGCCACCCCGGCTCAGATGATGAAATATGCAAAAATAATACACACACAACAGGAAGGGGGGGATAGGGGAATGCAAGGATTCCAGGATGAAGGATGCTAGGATGCTCGTTACTTACTTGCCACTTGACCATTTATTGTCGCATTCGTCCCGCTGATGCCAGTGAACTCGGCAACTGTGGGACTGGCGGCTTCTTGGCCCGGCGTGCTAATGCCACCTGCTCCACCGGCTCCGGTTGCAGAACCACTACCAGATCCAGCTAGTCCACTGGCTGCACCACTCGCTGCACCACTGCAGCTGTTGCCAGATGCCGCACCACTGCTACCGCCGGTGGCGCCCGCACCAACGTTGGCCTCGTCCCGTTTGCTGGGCAAACTCTCTGGCGTGCTGGCAACTGAAAGGATGAAATGCAAAATGTGCTTAGTTCGGGTGTATTTACTTTGGCAAAAAGTGTGAAAGAAATCTGTTGGATATTTCCTAGAACCTGGTTTATTTTTAGAGTAAATATTCTATGGAAAAAGATATATTTTTTGTTAATATAAGACTGCATGTACATGGTTTCTTTTTATTAGTAGTATGTCAAAGGGTAGCTTGAAATCTCCCAAAATTTAAGCAGAATTTAAAGATAATATTGCAGAGTATTTTTACTATTCCTCTGCTCCAACAGGTTTGCTTTTGCCAATCAGTTTTCAAACTATCTGTGCTTGTGTACACATCTATGCGAGCCCCAAAATCCTTTTGTTGTCTTTCACTTGCTGGAAATCCTCCTCCTTTCTAATGCTGTTGGGCTTAGCCAAAGTGTATTTGTGTTGTGTATTTTGTTTACTTCTTGATCCAAAGGGTAGAAATACTTTTTTGCCACTTTTGGTTATGCTAGAGACAAATCTTTTCAATCTTAGTTGAACTACGATGAGCATACTTTTGGGTAAAGAGGAAATTTAAAGAGTTAACCATAACCTTTAAATTTTATGATTTCTACCAAAATATTAAATTGTAATATTCTTATATATAAGAAAAATTTTGGATTTTATAAAAGAAAGAGCATTACTTTATCAATATCCCCGAGTTTGTAAACAATTTTCCTTGCCTTTAAGCTTTTCTTATGCTTCATCTTGTCTTATCCTTTGGCCTGGCTTAGGCGCCTCCTTTGGCACTACAAGATTAGATGGAAATTGCTTTTTGTGCGCAGAAAGGATTTTATTAGGCCAAGCTAATACTTTTTTTTTGTTGTGTGTTTTTGTTTTGTGCAGTTGCCAAGGCCAACAGCTGTTGGGGCGCAATAAATGTTTATTTATGTATAGAAAAATTCAGCATGCTTATTAAGTTTATTTATCATATTACGTATACGCCACGTAGCCAACGGGATGTGAGTAGGAACATATTATATATAAAATAGTGTAAGTTCTATTTTTAACAATGAAGATGCATCAATTAGGTTTGACTGGTTAAAATTAAATATATATATGTATATTTCAGTGACTGTGCTAATTACACTTTAAATAACAATAGTCGCAGCTGAGTTTTTTAAAACTACGTTTTATCATTTCTAATGTTTACTTTCGTCAACAAACTGCGGCTTTCGAAGTCGTTCAAGCTTTGAGTTTGGATTTATCTATAAATGGGTCTCGATCTGGTTTAGGAACGTTAGTCTTGTTTAACCAGTTGAAGTTACCTAACGTTAACTTTAGTTATCTCAGCCTTAAAGCCATGCGATTTTTCGCCCTGATCGCCTTGTGTCTGGTCGCACTTTTGGCCCTGACTTCCGCCGAAGAATTGACGGCATCAGTTTGCGCCTGTCCCCGGAACTACCAGCCCCTTTGCGGATCCGATGGCCACAATTACTCCAACCAGTGCGACTTGAATTGCGCCGCTAAAGCCAAAGGACGTACTATCACTGTGGCCAAGAAGGGACACTGCTAAGAAAGATACTTATAATTATAAACCCACTTAAAAGACCTAAGAAACGAATAAAATAAATTTTTGCCAGCTTTGAAATTTGATTGTTATATTAATGGGAATATTGGGGTAGTCTGTGACGAAATTGTTTTTAATAAGCTCAAAGTTTGAAGATGAAGGCTTGTCTATTTTAGCTTGAAATACAGCTATTGTCAATTAAGATTTATCGTCGTTGAACTGCTCTCTTAAAATTTAAGTAAATTTTCAAATATTCTCTCAAATGATTAGTCTCATTTAAAGAGTTGAACGCTAAGCTTGTTTAGTTCCCAGAAGCCATGCATTGCCTCGCTCAAGTTGCCTTCTACCTCTTTGCTCTTTTGGGTGTGTTTGTTCCCGGAAATGCCAGAGAATTGTGCGACTGTCCTCAAATATTTAACCCCGCCTGCGGATCGGATGGCAGAACCTATAGCAGTCCCTGCCTATTGGAGTGCTCGTCTGAGATTAATGGAGATACAATTACTATGACTCACGAGGGAAGATGCAATTTGGAATTACCATATTTGAATTAAATAATTTATTAATATATATTTCAAAATAAAATGAAACGCTCCAACAAAGTTTTGTTGTACTTAACATGTTGTAAACCAGAAAGCTTTGGGAATGCTAGAATATTCTAAAAGCTGCACTTATCTATAAATAAGATGAGATCAGGGTCGGAATCATCAGTCTAGCTCCACCATTTGCAGTTGACTTACATTTACTGTTTTCAATCTTTAAAATGTCACCTCGACTTAATATAGTGCTCGTCCTTTTGTTTGTGGTCGTTATCCTGTTACTAACCCTGTGTGCCGTCGGGAATGCCCAGCAACTGTGCGCATGTCCTTTCAACTACGATCCTGTTTGCGGGACAGACGGAAAAACCTACAGCAATGAGTGCGTATTGCGGTGTTCGCCGGGCTCGTTATCGGTGGCAAGGCATGGAGCCTGCTGAGCTTGGAATCTAACATTGCATTGCATAACCTACCTATCTGATTTGTTATTTGTTGTAAAAAATAAATATTTGTCAGTGTTAATTTCAATTGTTTTATTTCTGTAAATGTTTTGCGGAGTTCGGGAATAGCTAATCAAGGGTTTTGTAATAAAGCCATGCGTAGGATTATTGTGATTGCGTTGTGATGACACATCGGATGGAGTAACTTACAGCAATGATTGTTTTACTGGAGTGTAAGGCTATTCAAGAAGCCTATAGCTACAAACTATTATTATTTTATTTTTAAATATATTTTTACTACATCCGTGGGTTAATTTTAAAGGAAAAGTCATCAGCGTCCAAGAATTGATTTATCTTTATTGAAATCTTGGGTATTTTAAGCTCATTTAAGAGAATATAGTTGTATGGTTTTTAACGAAATTAGTTCATAATTTACGTAGAAGTGTAAGTAATGAAAATGTTTTATGTTTTATATTTTCTGGCTTAAAAATGAACGGTGGGCCAGAGTCAGTCGTACTTGTTTTAGATCAAACACTTTAAAAGATCCCTGGATGGGGTTTTTAATTTATATAATTGTAGGAAGATCAGCCGGAAAACATCAGTAATGTGTAACGAATTATGGTGTTTCAAACATCAGTGTTCTTAGCTTTGGACTCAGTCTTTGTCTCATTTTACAATAGTGGAAAACGTACAATCATTGTGTATCTATTCTGCATGTTAAGTGTTCTGGACTTAGATATTTCCGACATTGATCCTGTTTTCGTTCCGCATTAAATGAATGTCTAACCATATATGAAACTGTATTTTTACTAAATCCATAGATACCTTTTTAAGGCAACAGTTAAATAATGTCGAATAATGTCCAAGCGTCGTCTCAGTCTCACTTTCCTTATTAATCACAATATATTATAACCATGCCAATATATTATAGCCATTGTACCAGAATAATTGCACTTTTGTTCTTACTGACTTTGAATGCAATCGGAAATGCCGAGCAACTATGCTGATGTCATCTAATTGATGATCCGGTTTGCCGGAATTAAATTTATTCTTTATTTTGGTACTGGTTATTTTAAAGACATTTAAGAGAATATCATTGAATAATTTGAACCGCAATTAGTTCCTAGTTTACCTAAAAGTGTAACTAATGAATATATTTTCTCTCTTTCTCTTTAGCTTCTGGCTTATAAATTATGCCCCGTTTCAGTGATTTAACATTCAGTTTTCTTCGTCTCGTCACAGTCTCAGTCCCCGTATTATTCACTATATATTATAAACATGCGGTGCATTATAATTGTTAACCTGTTGCTGCTACTGACATTGAGTGCCAAGGGGAATGCCAAGGAACCATGCCCATGTCCTAGAATTAAGTCGCCTGTTTGCGGCTCGAATGGTAAAACCTACGAAAATGATTGCTTACGGAGATGTGACGGTATCCGATTCTCCCGTTATGGAAGATGCAGCTCTTGAGTAACCAGTTATCTTATTTTGTAATCTTTTAAATGTACTTGTCTATTTAAAAAAATATATTTCAAAGAAGTTGAATAATTGGAGTACATATATATTTTCTATCAACTGCTTTTAAGTTTATGGCGTCAGTCATAGGATCAGTTTATTCAGACTTATGTGCTAGCTAAAGTGCATTTGTGTTGTGTATTTTGTTTACTTCTCTTTTGGCTATGGGAGAGACAAATCTTTTCAATATTATAATTTCAGTCAGACGTTGCAACGCAGCAAAGGAGTCATCTCCAAACATATAAAGTATTTATATTCTTGATCAGGATTACAAGCCGAGTCGATCTAGCCATGTCCGTCTGTCCGTCCCTCTGTCCATTTCTACTCAAACTAGTCCCTCAGTTTTTAAGCTATCTGAATGAAACTTTACATTTTGGCATCTATATACTCTCACACGTAGATATGTCGGAACGGGCCGGATCGGCCGACTATATCATATAGCTTTCATACAAACGATCGATATAAAATTGAGGAAAATGAAAACTGAGAAAGTAAAACAGGCATTACTTGATTGTTTTTTAAGTTAACTACATATAATTTATATTGCATTATCTATCTATCTTCGGTATATAAACTTCGGTGTGCCGAAGTTAACTCCCTTTCTTATTTTAACTATATTTTTTTACTCGTCCATGGACACATTTTTAAGAAAAGAGTAAGTTCCGCAAAGAATTCAAATTTTTTCCCACAACAGTTTCTTTTAATGACATTTAAGATAATATAGTTAATTAATTTGAACCGCATTTAGTTCCTAATTTACCTAAAAGTGCAACTAATGAAAATATTTTCTGCTCTTAAGTTTCTGGCTATAAATAATGCCCCGTTTCAGTGATTGAATATTCAGTTTTCTCCGTCCCTATTTTATAACTATATTTTATAAACATGCGGTGCATTTTAATTGTTAACCTGTTGCTGCTACTGACATTGATTGCCAAAGGCAATGCACAATGCGGATGTCATAAACATTATTATCCAGTTTGCGGATGGGATCGTAACACCTACAACAATGCTTGCTTAATGGAATGTGCGGGTGTCATAATGGCACATAAGGGATTTTGCGATTAAGTGTAATGAGAGAAGAAATTATAAATATTTTGAATTACTTGTCTAATTAAAACAATATATTCCAAGCAAGTGAAATTAAATGTATTCTATATTTATAGAAATACTTTCTATCAACTGCGTTTGGTTTCTGGCGTCAGTCACTGGATCAGTTTATTTGGACTTATGTGCATTTCTGTTGTGTATTTTGTTAACGTCTTGATCCAAGGGGTAAAAACAATGTTTTTCTACTTTTGGCTATGGAAGAGACAAACCTTTTCAATATTATAATTTCAGTCAGAAGTTGCAACGCAGTGAAGGATTAACCTCCGGGCGCATAAAGTATATATATTCTGGATCAGGATTAACAGCCGAGTCGATCCAGCCATGTCCTTCTGTCCGTCCGTTTGTCCATCTGTCCATCTGTCCGTCTGTCCGTCTGTTCGTCTGTTCGTCCGTCTATCCGTTTTTACGCAAACTAGTCCCTCTGTTTTGAAGCCATCTGAATGAATCTTTGCAGTTAGCCTTCTATATACTCTCACATGTCGGAACAGGCCGGATCGGACGACTATATCATATAGCTGCCATTCAAACAATCGTTAAATAGAGGAAAATTAAAACTGTAAATGTAAAACTTTAAATATAAAATGTATAGGTGAATGAAATGAAAGCATTGTTTTTTACCATAAATGTATATACTTTATATTGCAGCAATTCGTAGTGATCGAAGTTCTATGTACGATATATAAACTTTCTTGTTTTAACATTTTTAAGATCAGGGTCATTTCCGCCAAAAAGGTTTTTTAAATGACATTAGTTGATTAATTTGAACCGCAATTAGTTCCTAGTTTACCTAAAAGTGTAACTAATGAAAATATTTTTTGCTCTTTAGGTTCTGGCTTATTAATAATGTCTCGTTTCAGGGATTGAATATTCAGTTTTTCCCGTCTCGTCACAGTCTAAGCCACTAAATTTTATAAAGATGCGGTGCATTATAGTTGTTAACCTGTTGCTGCTACTGACATTGATTGCCAAGGGGAATGCCAAACGACCATGCCCATGTCCTTTAAATTTTTATCTTGTTTGCGGAAAGAATGGTGTAACCTACGTCAATGACTGCATACGGGCATGTGAGGGTATCGCATTAGCCCATAGTGGAAGCTGCAATCCTTGAGTACCCAGTTATCTTTAGTGATAGTTCAACACTTTATTTATCTGTTGAATGTACTTGTCTAATAAAAAAAATATATTCCAACGATGTAGAATTAATTGTAGGTTACATATTTATATTTTCTACTAGCTGTACCCTGCCACGTTTCTCTGTGGCATATTGTGGTTAAGAGGGCACTTCTGAATACATCAATGTTCCGGCAAAATCATCTTCCTGGCATAAGGTGAAGAAGGCAGTCAGAGTTGTCGCTGGCGGATTCAGGACTCTTTCTTGCACATTTCTTTCTGTGAAATAGATACGTTGACCATTCTCCAAATGGACTGCCAAGTGAACTAAAGCTGGATAGCGTTCATGAATGGGGAACGAACAAATTCTCCATGCAACCTCGTTGCTGCTTTTGTATCTTCCAGCCTGGTATTGAGATATTTCATCGACAACTCGTACTGCATTGCTGTCCCCATTTTCTGCCTGAACACCAAAAACTGCCATATCGCTGCCTTTATTCACGTACTTGCAGATATATTTAATTGATTTCACGGAATTGCAATATTCTACGTTGATGTGCGCTTTGTATGATTTTGACAATAGTGTTGAGTATGGAACCACCCAACGATTGTCTACCTCAATATCACCAATTCTCATGTTTAAAGTTGCCGAAGTCCCTCCATCTTCAGTTGACCGTCTCCTATACAGAGGATATCCATCTTCCCCTGTTACGGTGTTGGCTGTAAATGCTCGAGGATATCGCTTGGAACACTTCCCGTCTACCATGCATGGTGAACTTCGGTTGAGGGTACCACATGGGCCATGGATCATGTTCTTGATGACAACTGCATGCAAATCTGTATCAACCTCTGCCCGTGGAATCTCAGTGCATATCACATTGTCAATTTCGTCTGGAGTAATTTTATCATACAGCCAAATCAGTATGTGCGCATGCGGCAATCCTCTCTTCTGACATTCTACTGAATACATCCAGCACCGCTCAGATCCCAAAACTCCATGTTTCACAATGAAATCCATCAGTGACTTGAGCTTTTGTCTAAAAACACGGGCTGTGATGTCATGCCTATCCCTATATGATTGTCCAGGAAATAACAGCTGAACTATCTCGTCCCAAGCTGGATTGCATGTGAAGGTGATAAATAAGTCTGGACGGCCGTAGCAACGAACATATGCCTGGGCATCTTGAGCATATTCATGCATGTGGCTCGGACTACCTATGTATGAGGATGGCAAAATCGTGAGCTTTCCAACGTTGGTTGTATTATGGTCATTCATCACAGCATCCCGCAAATGTATATATTCCTCGGACCGAAGTTTCTTCTGATTCAATCGGAGGAACAGCTAACGTTGTTTCAATTTTTGCATACATATCGACAATGTACTGATAAAACAACTGACGACATTTCAATATATGATTGCAATCGGTCCTCCGAACCATTAACCTGTATGAGTAAAAGTTCATCGCGCAGCCGCGTCTCTCGGATGGAGGCCCGTTCTTCGTCAGTCATATTCGCAATCTTACGTCTTTTTGCTTCTGTATTGCGAATACGACGACCCAATCTCGACTTCTTTGGTGGCATGACTTCGTTTCTTACTGAACCTGAACAAAAAATAAAATTTGTATCTCCAATTTCTTCTTTCAATATGTTTTTAATGTTTGACAGGAAATGCTTTGATTTGCTTGTAGAGGGCGCAGTAGTAGGGGCACGGGGAAACGCTAAAAAATAGATATATTCGCAACCGCAGATAAGCTATCAACATCAAAAGTAGTCAATAACCGAGCTGGAACCTCAACGCATCTTCTCTAAAAATTTGGGCATAAACGGTTCAGAACTTTTCAAGTTTCTTCTTTCAATATGTTTTGAATGTTTGACAGGAAATGCTTTGATTCAGCTGGCTGCCTGTAGATGGCGCAGCAGTAGGGACACTTGGAAACGCTAAAAAAATAGATATATTCGCCACCGCAGATAAGCTATCAACATCAAAAGTAGTCAATAACCGAGCTGGAACCTCAACGCATGTTGTGTAAAAATTTGGGCTTAAACGGTTCAGAACTTTTCGAGTCTATGAAGGATGTAGACACGAACAGAGCATTTTTATATATATAGATTAACTGCGTGAAGGAGTCATCTCCAAGCATATAAAGGATATATATTCTGGATCAGGATTACCAGCCGAGTCTATCTAGCCATGTCCGTCTGTCCGTTTCTACTCAAACTAGTGCCTCAGTTTTGAAGCTATCTGAATGAAACTTTGCAGTTAGTCTTCTATATACTCTCACTCGTAGATATGTCGGAACAGGCCGGATCGGACGACTGTATCATATATGATAGCTGCCATATAAATGATCGATATAAAATTCAGGAAAATGAAAGCTGAGACTGTAAAACTTTAAATTTAAAATGGATAGGTGAATGCAATGAAAGCAGACATTACTTCATTGTATTTTAACATAAATATACATAATTTATATTGCATTAATTCGTAGTGATCGAATTTCTTTTTTAGGTATATAAACTTTGAAGTAAACTTCCTTTCTTGTTTTAACTATATATTTTACTACATCAACGGTCACATTTTTAAGATAAGTGGCATCTCCGCAAGGAACTAATTTTATTCTTTTTTGCCCTATAGGTTATTTTAAGTACCGTTAAGAGAATATAATTGAAAATTTTGAACCGCAACAAGTTTTAAATTAATATAGAGGTGTAACTAATGAAAATATTTTCTGCTCTTCAGCTTCTGACTTATAAATAATGCCCGGATTCAGTGCTTTAACATTCAGTTTTCTTCGTCTCGTCACAGTCTCATTTTCTTTATTATTCACTATATATTTTAAACATGCGGTGCATTATAATTGTTAACCTGTTGCTGCTACTGACATTGAGTGCCAAGGGAAATGCCAAGGAACCATGCGTATGTCCTAGAATTTTGTGGCCTGTCTGCGGAACTGATGGTGTAACCTACGGCAATGATTGCGAACTGAAATGTGAGGGTATCCCAGCAGCTCATGATGGAAGCTGTAATATTCTTGTGAGATAGTTCAACACTTTATTAATCTTTTGAATGTACTTGTCTAATTAAAAAAATTTATTCCAAAGAAGTAAAATTAATTGCAGTGTGTATATGTAGATATATTTTTTCTATCAACTGCGTTTGAGTTCCTTGAGTCAGTCTTGTCTCACAAGTTACGATAATCATAGGATCAGTGATTGTCTATTTATTTGTGAGTTCAGGAACACAGGACCCAAATGGGGAGTTTGTTTAAAGGACACATGAAATTCAATTTGTACTGATTTTTGTTTGATAAAATAATACAAATAAATTTATAACTATACCTCATTATATTCTATATTCATTAGCAGTTCGGTAGGGAGATTCGTGTCATAATCTATATTTAATTACATTTGATTTCCTTTGTAATGTAACAAATTACATTAAAGCATAAAATTTTAATGAATTATGCAATCCAAAAATATTTTTTAGTTTAGTTTCCGGTTTAAATGGTATTGTTTCTTTGTGCTTTGTTAAAATCAAAAAATTTTAATAAATAAATACGTGTACATTGTGAATTTTATTTATTCAAGATTGACTGTATTTATTTTTGCGGCTTCTGTTATTGACCCAATTGTTAAACGACTTTTCTTGCTGGCTTGGATTCTGTTTGAACAAATGTCGCCCCAGTGTTTATAATAATAAAAAAGTAATCATAAAATATGCCAGGTCTGACAGATAGCGTAGGTTATGTTCCAGAGGAGTTTTTATGGATAGAAAGTTTTTAAGAACAAAAATTTTGCAAATAGGGCAGAAAAAGAAATTTATCAAAAGATAAACAATCGTGTTTTGTTTTAATTAATATGATAAAACCTCTTTGAATAGGTTACTAATATTGTTTTTGATTTCTCTCTCTCAATCTTTGTTCTTAAAATATTATATTATTTGCTGCATAAAATACGACTTATAATATTCACTTCGGTTCTTTCATTTAATGTTTACCCAGGAATAGTTGAAACTCATCTTTGAACCAAGATAAGTAGTCAAGATAGTTGAAACTTTACCATGACTCACAAAAGTGTAGCACGCTCTAGACTATCTTTGACAGCTATAATATAATTTATATATATTCGCAAATCAGTTCAGCACTCAAAGTCGCTTTGTCGTTTTTTCCAGTGCGATATTTGTCCCCTTTTTGTGATTCGCAGTTGCGATAAGATCTCGAGGCGTATCGATTGCAATGCCAAATAATCTGGTTGATAAGCTGTTTTTTTTTTTCTATTTATTTCAGCTTGATGATTAATACAGGGCAGATATATTTATTCAATTTGATTATTTATTTTTCCAATTTAATTTTGGTTTTATTCCAAATTCCCGATGTTTCTTTGGTTTAGTTTTTAGAGAAGTATCCGTGTTAGCAGGTTCCGGTTCTCAGGAGTCCCAAACTGCGTCCCTGACGTGCCGCCGAGCGACTCTGACAATCGAATTCACAGCGATTGGGATAGGTGATCCTGTTGGTTCCACAAACGGGCTCGTAGTTCCTGGGACAGGGACAGAAGGCCTTCTTATCCTCAGAGTTCTGCTCTTCAGTTAAATCGCCACGAATTGGCGATATGGCGAGGGCCAAGAAGAGGCACATGGCCAACAGAATGCTTAGAAATTTCATAGTGTCGAGGTTAATCCACTTGCTATACTGACTCGCAACTGCCATTCAAGTTCGTTTTTCAGGTAATGGAGCTTTGGTTCGCTTCGATTTGGCCTGTTATCTTATCACTATAGCGTTGGGCTTTGCAGTTGAGGGTAAATTTTAATACCCAGTATAGGTAATATAAAGGGGCTAGATTGTTTTCTGGCTGGTTAAGAAACCTTTTCACTTAAAATCATATGGATGTTCATTACTATGCATATCGTAAGGGAAATCAAATTTGCAGGAATCATTTCTAAACTATATATAATATTGATTAGCAGCACAAATATTTTTAACATAATAAAAGCTGACCCAAAAATCGAATTCATTTCAAATAATAAAATTCAGTCTTGATTATGATTAATTTCAAATAGTATATTATGACGAAAGGGTATACAAACTACAAAATTTGCAAAGTTAACTTCTTTTCATATATATATAAAAATTAAATACAGGGTATGTCACAGTCTGTTAAATTTGTATAATTCTTTTGACTTGTCAGACCGCATAGAACCTGCTCAATTAGCCGAGCGTAGTTCCGAGAACTGGGCTAGTTAAATAAATGCAATGGCAATTAATTGAATAATTTATGAGTGCCAGAGCACTTTCATTTAAATAATTTATTTACCTATCGAGAGGAACAAAGCGCGGAATTGTTTATAGTTTCGAAAGCTCCACAGAAAAAGCTATATTTTAACTATTCTCTGAGAGAGCTTTATGTGCTCTTTCCAATTGTTATCAGTGATCAGGTGGCAAACGCAATTGAAGAAATTTCCCCAATGTATATATGTAGATATGTACATATGAATCGTACACTCTCGTACACAAGTCAGCTTTTTTATGAGACGCAGTAATTAATGGAAAACTAGATGTTTTGTGAAGTAATTTACACGGCGCTTGCTATTCAATTTCAATTGCCATTCAAATTCAATTAGCTTAGCGCATTGCCGGCCCCCGGGGAAATTTGTATAAGTTTTTATATAGCCCAGTTCTGGAGTATCAGCCGTCATGCGAGGTGTTTTCCTGGGCCTCCTGCTACTGCTCTTCGCCATAGTGGCGGTAAGAGCCCTCAACTGCCAGCCATGCAAAATACTGGAGGCCCGCAAGACGCATGCCAACGAAACCCACACACGGGAGGAAGGTCGGTTGGGAAACAGTGCCAAATAATCAGCAGCTTGTTTGACTAATTAGCAAAAGTTACACAAACACACACACCCACTCTTATGTATGTACCTTGTGTTCAATCTAAAAAAACAAACGACGATTCCGAAACTCAGTCTCAGTTGAACATTCGCCGCGAAAAGACGACGAGAAGTTGCTCCACACAAAAATCCCTTGCAATTAGCACAACAAAATGAAGTGCCTAGCTCTGGTCGTCCTTTTGGCTCTTTTGGTCACCCTCCTTGCAGGATCCTCGGAGGCCAGCTACTGTCCCTGTGACCTGAAGACCAAAGCCACGCAGATCTGCGGCTCCAATGGCGTCACCTACCAAAATCGCTGCGAATTTGAGTGCACACAGCGTGACTATAGGAAACTAGGACGTTCCCTAAACGTCCGCAAGGAGGGACAATGTTAACGCAATTTGGGAATATTTACTTATATACTCGTCAGTTATGGTTTCTACTACAAAAGATATATTAGTGCTGTGAGATTATCAACAAAAATATACATATACTCATCAGATTTCAAAATAACTTGATTTTATAACACAATTGTTACCTATGAATATTAATAAATAATGTGAAATTATTAATCTTTAATGCAAGTAATTAATCATACTTTTTATTCTTCAGTTTTTTGGTATTTTCTAGTATAGGAGTAGAATTAGTAGCTAGCTTATCTTATTTTTATCAAAGCTGTTATTGTTATTTGTCTTGGCTCATAAAAAGTCTGTTTAAACAAATTCCTTTTGTGAGTTGACAGAATATAAGACTTTGCATTGTTCAGCTTAATGTAAACAAGTTGAAGTCCAGCAGTTCTATATACAGTTGCTATTTATTTATTTCCATTATATTCCCATTTTCACCTATATTTAAATATTTTCTATTTACCACACATCATAATAAAGAGAAACTCAGTTCCCAATTCAATTTAAAATTCAGAAATGATTTATTTTTAATTTGAAAAATCTAGAACCTACTGCAAATAAAAATACATTCGATTTAGACTCTTATCTGGTATGAAAATCAGTTTCTCAACAACCTCAATTATATTATACAACCGTAAGTATGCAAATAACGCCATTCAATGCTAATTAAAAGCTGCGCCGAGTGCGTCATCACCTCAGTTAATCATTTTGGGGTGGCTGTCGTTCCCATTGACACTGAATCGAAGTGGATTTTGGCCACGTTTAAACAGTCGCCTCACGCACATCAATCAAATTTATGCATAATTAATCGTTTGTCGCGAGCGCTTCGATTCGAGAATCCCCCGAGAATTGCCGATGGCTGATGGCAGGGATGTGATTTATTAACTTGGCGCAGTGACTTGGACTAATTGAATCTCAGGACGTGCGACACAAGGACCTAGTATTTTGCTGCATATAAACCAGAGCAGGGCGCCACCACTTCAAGTGGCCAAGTAATAACAAGAGCCACTGCATGGCTAATAAAGGTAACAGGCCACATTTATGAGGTGTGGTCGAGCGACTACCGTTCGCCGCATTTATTACAGGAAGCTGTCAGCTGCCTGGAATTTGGCTAGCCAGAATGTTATTAAAAAGATAATAATGAACGTTGGAACGGGTTGAATCACGGCACTAAATGGCGTTTATCTCGGGAGCGGGTAACAAGAAGCTTCACCAGAATTATCCAAATTAGAAATGGTATCACACCATGAGATAACCAAGAAGGTGGGTCATAAAAAGTGAGTTGTAATTCAAACAACAGAACCAAGGAATTTCGAGTCTTTATTTTTATACCCTCTCTTCCAAGGTATGCTAATTGTAGTCCATAGCTCGAAACGCACTGAAGGAGTCATTTCCAACCCTATAAATCAAATATATTATTGATCAGCATCGAAAGCCGAGTCGAACTAGCTATGTCCTGTAAAAATTTATTTGTTTCAAAATTTTTGAAAATTGTTTAAGGTAAAATTGTCAAAAATTACCAAAAATATTAATATTAATTTTTTAATACCTTAAATTGAGTTTGCTGTTTTATGTATTAAAAAAAAACTATCATAGGAAAGTTTTTCGAATTTAAATTAATGTTTTATTGGCTTAGTTGAGAGGTCTTTTAGTTTGAATTTGTTGAACAAATTGTCATTTAAAAATATATATAAATATGGGCTTAAAAATGCTGCTATTTAGTTATAATTAATTTCCGATACTATCCTTTAATTCAAATGCAAAATGCAATGGTATGTTTATGTTTAAATACAGAAATTTCATTATGTACTTTCTTTATAAGACTTTGAACATCTAAAATTACCATAGCCTTTGACATATTTCAAACCATACTTAATTCTTACAATATTTTAAAGCCGTTTCGATCGAAATAGAACAGAATTTAAGCTTTTTCCAACCTTACTAACCTTATTTAAAACTTAATTTTATGTTCAAATCAATAATCGAAAAGTCCCCGATTAAGATTAAACCCTTTTTCCAGCAAATATCACGAAATTTGATGCAAATTCGTGCTAATATCGACCAAGTAGTATCAGTCATTGCCTTAACTGACGGTATATCGATCTGTGCCCCAATCCGATGATATTATAATATTGTGTCAAAAGAGGATTGCCCTGCCACTGCTCCCTCCAGTCAGTCATAACAATAAAGTCGAGATATCAAAGGTCATATGGATAAACGAAAAAAACAAGCGAGTCTATATGAAAATTTACATGTGGAACCTACTTATGACAACAAACCCGACAATCTCTACAAATGCCAACAAACCTGGCGTTGTTGTAATCGATTTGTGATAACAAGTATTTGATAAGCGTAAACGTATTGACAACATCAAATAGCAGGGCCCAAAAAAATAAACCAAAAGATAGGCAGAGCTCAAGCCCAAGGGCTGTGCCAAAAGGGAAATGGAAAAGCGGTGGGGAGGAAAAGCGTAGCATATGTTTAGGCGCGTGTGCCAAATTCGTAAATATCTGGGATTAGTGGGAGCTCGATTTTTAATATGCCAAGCAGCCAAAATTTCGTTGATATGATTAAATATTTACATAATACAAAATTTAGGCTGTGTATTTATTTATTCGTGCTCGGGGAGCACGAAGGCCCGAAAGCCCTAAAATTGAAAAGTGCTCCGAACGTAACACAAAAAATACAAATAAAAAAAGGAAAACGTTAAATCCGCCCCTCTCACAGGATATGTCCTGGCACAAAAGGCTTCTCGCAAAGGCAATTCAATCAGCGTCGCGACATGAAAGCTAAACCTCGTTGTCCTGCCAGCAGCCGCCCCCACAGACAGGTGAGACAGGTGAGTGGTGAGCTGGCACAGTTTTGGCGGGACAGACGGCGGATTAGCCGATGCTTCCCCTGTAAAACATTTCGCTTTAACTTTTCACTTTCCGAACGGTTCGCATTTTTCCCAAGGGGAGGTGCGGCCTCGAAATTACAGCAAATTTCCTTCGCTTTGATTCCGGAGCGCCAAAGGAATCCCAATGTGAGCAATGAGCCACGCCCCGTGTCAAACCCTTTTCATGTCCTGGCAAAAAGCGGGGAAAATTATGGCGAGTTTTGGCCTGTGTGATGATCAACGTGAAGATTTCAGCACATATTTGTGCTGGCAAAATTTCCAATAAACTCAGAGAACAGCCAGGAGCACTCGCAGGATTAACCTTGGCAGCCCTTTTGTTGCTCAAAGGCTAGCAAAATGTTTAATTAAGCTGCCAGATTCAGTTCTGGTTGAAAGTTCCAAGGAGTTGGAAGAGAATCATGTCCCCAGTTTGGTTGTCATGGTCACGCCATGGAAGTTCGCGGCTTCCAGGATAATAAATGGAGATAGATAAACGGGTTGGGAAATGCCTCTGATAGAAGTAAATGGTAAATTCTGTCATTTAGGTAAATGATTGCCATG